CTTTGTATACGTATATGGCATGCAAAGCATGGGCCAGAGCATAAGCAGCATTGTAGACACTGTAGCTGTGGCCAGTCATGCTCATTTCAAACAAAATCCCAGGAAGACTCTCCAGCTTCTCTTCTCCAGTGCACATATTGCCATTCTTCTTCTGCACCTTGGAAATGTCCAGTGAACAGTTGAATACCTCCTCCCAGAATTCCTGGATGAAACCATCTTCTTTGGCCCAGGAAGGTCGTATGAGCTGAAGGAATTTTTGGAATCCGGGAGGCTCATTTGAATGAACAGCAAAGGACAGAGAACCATGAAACATATCTACATTCCAAGTACCTGGAAAGGATGATACATCAAAATCCCAGTGGGATGTAACAATCCAAACTTTACCCACCGGTGGCAATGAAAACTTTTCTGCCATATTTAGCAACATACTTAGAGTGTGTAGTGAGGTAGGCTCTCCATATACAAAGTTTGCATTGGCTTTGCTCTCCAGGATAACAAAATATTGTTCCTCCAACCTTAAAAACAGTGTGATAAAGTCATCCATGAAAGTCAGTTTTGCTAATCTTATTGTGAAAGAACAGATCCTATTGAGAAAAAACAAAGACACTACCACCTGCAAAAACCTGTCCCCATTGTCATCATCCATAGCCATGAGACCAATCCATGTCCACCTGAAATGCTGAAATAAACGGACAGCTCCCATGTACTGATTGGCTTCATTGGGGACCATCTGATACAAGGAAGAGAACAGCATTTTGTCCCCATGTACTGAAGGAAGTGATCCATAAGCAAGCTAGAAGAAAATATACAAAAAACACAAAAACTCTAAACTTTGAAAATCCATATCTAGGTGTGAGAACTCTGCATTCAGGTTTTCTGGGCCTACCTGTGGCATCTTGTAGATGGTTAAAATGGTTGCTATATTGGCAGAAGTTTCTGAGGTACGTGCTCCAATTACAGCTATGAGATTCTTTTGGCGATCACACTTGAAGTTGGGGAGAAACTTATGTTGTATGGAAAGCAAGCTCAGTGTGGCCTTATAAGTCATTCTGGCAATGTAGTAGCTGTTGAGGTTGTAGAAACCCAAAGTGACATTTGCTAAGATTCTGGGATTCTCGTTGATCTCTTTTACAGCAAATGCAAAAGCCAGGATGTGTTGGTAGTTTTTTGTAACAAAACTATAAGGAGAGTTAAAAAAGAGAGAGAGATCTTGGAGTTGTAGTAGATAACTCACTGAAAATGTCGAGACAGTGTGTGACTGCAATAAAAAAGGCCAATGCTATGCTGGGGATTATTAGGAAGGGTATTGAAAACAGATCAGCCAATATCATAATGCCCCTATATAAAACAATGGTGAGACCTCATTTGGAATACTGTGTGCAGTTCTGGTCACCACACCTTAAAAAGGATATTATAGCTTTGGAAAAACTGCAGAAAAGGGCAACTCGAATGATAAAAGGGTTGGAACACTTTCCCTATGAGGAAAGGTTAAAGCGCTTGGGGCTCTTTAGCTTGGAGAAACGACGACTGAGGGGAGACATGATCGAGGTTTATAAGATTATGCATGGGATAGAGCAGGTAGAGAAAGAGGTACTTTTCTCCATTTCTCACAATACCAGAACTTGTGCGCACTCAATGAACTTGCTGGGTTAGAATGGATAAAACGAAGTACTTCTTCACCCAAAGAGTGATTAACACATGGAATTCACTGCCACAGGAAGTGGTGGCGGCTACAAGCATGGACGGCTTCAAAAGGGAATTAGATAAGCATATGGAGCAGAGGTCCATCAGTGGCTATTAGCCACAAGGTATAGCTAGGGGCTCTGGGGCAAGTGATGCTCTGTCTTCTTGGTGCTTGGGGGGGTCAACAGTGGGAGGGCTTCTAATGTCCTGGCCCCACTGGTGGACCTCCTGATGGTACTGGTATTTCTGGCCACTGTGTGACACAGAGTGTTGGACTGGATGGGCCTTTGGCCTGATCCAAATTGGCGTCTCTTATGTTCTTATGTTCTTGTGGGTATGAAAAATAATATAGCTAATATGAAAAGAGCTATAAAATACCACTAGTTAAATATGATAGATGTAATTTAACTAATTTACTTTATTTTAGAACTCTTTGGTACCTAACGTTAGGGTGAATCAATCAATGAAGGGAATGTTACAACTA